AAAACCAAAAAGTCAGTTCTCTCAGCGTATTACAGAACTGGTGACTCTGCTGGGGAGTTACTTAAAAATCAGGGGTTACCTTAGAGTTTAGATCACTTTTACTTGTTTTAATTGTTCGAAATGTTTGATTTATTTTAAGGGTTCATGCTGGGGTATTATTGCTTCTAAGATCATACTCCCGGATATAAGAACTCTTTAGGTAAGTAGCAATAGATCATAAAGACTATACATCGTAGACCGATATGGTTAACATGATAGCTACTATTAGTGTGACACATTGGTTTGTAATAATGTTCCTTGAGTTAGTAAAGGATAACATTAGGCTTCTGCATGGTGTCGTTAACACTAATTTACATTATGAACCTTAATTGACCCATCTTGGCTATTAAGAAGTAGTGAGATAACCGGCTTTGGTGCAGTCCAAATTTAGTTGATACTCGAGGCTACGCTCATTGAAATTCGACTCTCGGGATGTTTTGATGGCAAGCCAGTTTCCGTGCTAAAATTAATTCAACGAAAAAGATTTGTGATATGAGATTCTTAGAACCCGATTACTACTTTAGGACAGGTTGAGCCAACTTAACTTCAATGGGGAAGGGTATTTACCTATGGAGTCCGTGCAAGCCTTTAAACCTAAGGATCTTGTGTGACTTGTTTGTGTTTGCTACTTATTTAACATGAACATAACATCATAACATCATATCATCATAACAACATTTTCACTAACCATTTCAAGGACCTAGGGATTTATATTTGTTCCTTGTTACAGGTTATGGCTTCCGCTCGCAAAAATACTTTTCGGATCAACTTTGTAAGGATACCTTCCAAGCTTAAGGAGTTAGTCTCAAAGGTTCCCGAAAAATCTCAATTTACCAAGAGGCATGCTTATCTACTCACTTTGGTTATCCCATGTTTTGAAGAAGACATGATGAGTGTTCTATTAGAGTTCTTTAATCCTACGAATCACTGTTTTACCGTCCCAGATTATCAGTTGGTACCCACAATGGAGGAGTTTTGTAAGCTACTTAGAGTACCTATTCTTGATAAGACACCTTTCACCGGTTTACAGAATGTTCCAAAACCTAAAGTCATTGCAACAACCTTACATCTGAAGCGGTCAGACAATGTGTCTAATTGGGAAATAAGAAGTAGAATTAAAGGTCTTCTTGCTAAATTTTTGATAGAGAAGGATCAGTTGTTTCTAGATGCTATTAGTTTTCATGCTTTTGAGGAGATCTTGGCTCTGTTAGTCTATGGTTTGGTACTATTCCCTAATCCAGACCAACTCATAGATGTGAACACCATCAAAATATTTCTTACACATAATCCTTTGCCTATTTTGCTTGGAGATATTTTGCACTCTCTTCAAACTCATACTATTAGGAAGTGAGGGATTCTCATGTGTTGCATAACTCTACTATCCAGGTGGTTTATTTTGCACCTTCCCCGATCAATGATAAATAATGAACAAGGTTTGAGGTGGTCTCAAAGGATGATGTCACTCTCTTATTCAGATATATATTGGTGTTCCCGATGTTAGGAGGACGTCACTATTATCAACCGCTATGGAGAATTCCCTAATGTGACGCTCCTTGGCATCAGGGGAGGTATTACTTACAACCCTTATCTAGCTCTATGTCAATTTGGTTATGCTCGGAGAAACGGTCCTCATGATATGCTTATCCAAGGTATTGTATTCAATTACAAGAACGATCTTCAAGGTTACAGTCATAAGTTTATATGTGCTTGGGGCATGGTGAATAAGATTGATAGCAAGGCTTTAGGACAAAAAAACTCCATCCCTTTGGAGCCCGACCTTAAATGGGTGTGATCTCGTGCTCAAAATCTTATAATGCCATATCCTGCCATCCTACCAATAATTGTGGTGCCTGTTGTTGAAGGAGATATTCCTCATACCATCATTCATCTAGATATGCCTATTGACCTGGAAGAGCTAGAGAAGTCTTAGATTCAACTGAAAGAAGAAAGGGACACCTTTGAGACTCAGTTCTATGCTAGTGAGAAGAAAGTTTTGGAGATGACAAGGCGACTTCACGAAGAACATCTCTTTAATTCATATGTCAACACAAAGAGGAAGCGTCCATGGGAGACTTTAGTCTTAGGTATTAGGAGTTCATAATTTATTTCCTTGTAACCCTTTTAGCTTTAATTTGAGCTTACTAATAAGAGTCTTTGTTTATGTTCCCTTTTGATTAACAAACTTAAATCCCACGAGGTTCTTGAAGACATTGCATATGCATCTACATGCCATACATATCATTGCATAACAGGTTTCCAAGACAAGTTTCTCATCTTCTTGCCGTTTATTTTAACAAAGATGGCTCTCTAACAAACAGTCAAAGATCTCTAGGCTCAGAATGTTCAGTTCCAAGAGATGGTTCTAAACCTATCCAAGGAGACATAAAGGATGACCAGTTGGAACAACTGCAAACTGAGATGACAAAGATGAGAATCCAAATGATTGGTAAGATGGATCTTATAAAAAATTTAGCTCGGGAGAAGAAGAGTTGAGAATCCTCATTAACAAGCTTCATCAATTAGGATACAACCGTGTGGGACGAACTGCTAGAATTGGGGATCCAATCACTAATCAGCCTCCGATGAGACAGGAAACTGTCTTGGTTAAAAGTAGGAGGAGAATAAGAGAGGGAAAGAGACAAGTTGACATTACTAATCCTTCAGTTAATGGAAAATGGCCTTTCCAAATTGTTATTACATCGCAAGCTCAACAACGACCCCGCCAACAACAATAGGGTAATCAACATAAGCAGAATACAACCAAAAGATAATTCACAAAAATTAGCATGCCATTGTCTCAAGCATTATAACACATGTTGAAGATGGAGTTGATTAAATTGAAGGACCCCACTAACAATTAATTTTCATACACTTAAAATATTTTCTCCCCAACTTTTGAGATCTAATTACTTGTAATATTTCTCCTTTTTTCTTTATACATATCATTTTTTGATTTCTTACATATAACAATATAATAAATAAATTTTGTTGCTTTTAGTCCACCTAAAATCTTAAGATAATAGGTGAGTGAGCTCTCCCACTTTATATTATTATTCTAATACTCCACCTCAATTGTGAGTCCATTGTTGGGGGAGTTTACTAGGGAGCTTGGGGGAAGAAGAGTCGATAATCCTCATCAACAAGCTTCATCAGGTCGGATACAACCGTGTGGGACGAATTGCTAGAATTGAGAATCCTCATTAACAAGCTTCATCAGTTAGGATACAACCGTGTGGGACGAACTGCTAGAATTGGGGATCCAATCACTAATCAGCCTCTGATGAGACACGAAACTGTCTTGGTTGAAAGTAGGAGGAGAATAAGAGAGGGAAAGAGACAAGTTGACATTACTAATACTTAAGTTAATGGAAAATGGCCTTTCCAAATTGTTATTACATCGCAAACTCAACAACGATCCCGCCAACAACAACAGGATAATCAACATAAGCAGAATACAACCAAAAGATAATTCACAAAAATTAGCATGCCATTGTCTGAAGCATTATAACACATGTTGAAGATGGAGTTGATTAAATTGAAGGACCCCCCTAACAATTAATTTTCATACATTTTAAAATATTTTCTCCCCAACTTTTGAGATCTAATTACTTGTAATATTTCTCCTTTTTCTTTATACATATCATTTTTTGATTTCTTAGATATATCAATATAATAAATAAATTTTGTTGCTTTTAGCCCACCTAAAATCTTAAGGTAATAGGTGAGTGAGCTCTCCCAATTTACATTATTATTCTAATACTCCACCTCAAGTGTGAGTCCATTGTTGGGGGAGTTTACTAGGGAGCTCGGGAGAAGAAGAGTTGAGAATCCTCATCAACAAGTTTCATCAGGTCGGATACAACTGTGTGGGACGAACTGCTAGAATTGGGGATCCAATCATTAACCAGCCTCCGATGAGGAAGGAAATTGTCTTGGTTGAAAGTAGGAGGAGAATAAGAGAGGGAAAGAGACAAGTTGACATTATTAATCCTTCAGTTAATGGAAAAGGGCCTTTCCAAATTGTTATTACATCGCAAGCTCAACAACGACCCCGCTAACAACAACAGGGTAATCAGCGTAAGCAGAATACATCCAAAAGATAATTCACAAAAATCAATATGCCATTATCTCAAGCATTGCAACACATGTTGAAGATGGAGCTGATTAAATTGAAGGACCCCGCTAACAATTAATTTTCATACATTTTAAAATAATTTTCTCCCCAACTTTTGAGATCTAATTACTTATAATATTTCTCCTTTTTCTTTATACATATCATTTTTTGATTTCTTACATATATTAATATAATAAATAAATTGTGTTGCTTTTAGTCCACCTAAAATCTTAAGGTAATAGGTGAGTGAGCTCTACCACTTTACATTATTATTCTAATACTCTACCTCAAGTGTGAGTCCATTATTGGGGGAGTTTACTAAGGAGCTCGGGAGAAAAAGTGTTGAGACCCCTCATCAACAAGCTTCATCAAGTCGGATACAACCGTGTGAGACGAACTACTAGTATTGGAGATTCAATCATTAATCCGCCTCTAATAAGTATATCAAATAAATATATAATTCTAAAAAAAAAATCTCAGTCTCAACTATATCAACTGTTCACCAATATTTATTGTAAATTTAGTTATCCAAATAAAAGCTACTAGCAACCAATTTTTATTGGGAATTTAATCGGTCAATTCCTCAAGATAATCTTGTGATCATGAAAAGACAAGTTAGGACTGAGCAATATTTATTGTGAATTTAGTTTCTCAAAGACAGCCTAGTACTGAGCAATATTTATAGTTAATTTAATAGATCAATTACTCAGAAACAACCTAGGGCTCATCAATATTTATTATAAATTTTATCAATTGTTTTATCAATTGAATTCACTATATATATTGCAGCAGTATTTCGTTCATTCTCATACACTCACTAAGTTTCTATCAATACTACACAGCTTAAATGGAGTTTAAAAATCTATCTGTTTTAGCTCTCTTTTTGGTAAGCTATTTTCTGCTTTGCTTCATCAACTTTCTATCAAATATTTTATGCGAATTGGAAAGTTTAAAGGAAAAACAATCCAATATTTATTATTAACACTTTAAATGAATTGTTGTTATATGTCTATATTTGCAGTTGGTTCTGGTGGGAATTCATGGATCTAACTCAGGAGAAGAATATTGGAAATCTGTTTGGCCAAACACTCCTATACCTAAGGCACTTTCGGATCTCTTATTGTCTGGTTAGTAAAAACATAAATAAGATCTTTTAAATATCACTTTTTCGTTTTAGTTAATGTAATATATATTTCTTGAAATATATTAATTTTTGTTTATTTTAAATGAAACTAAAATTAAATATTCTTCGTATCACATAGATTAATTTCAATAAAAATAAGTTTTATAAAGATTAAAACGAAATAACATAATTAAAGATCAATTTCACTTACGTAATTAAATCTTTCACTAGTTATATATGTTACATTGATATGAACTATTATTATATAATTTTATATTTATTACTTTATATTAACATATATCACGACTATGTATCACCATTATGTGTTTATTTGATTTAATATTTGATGTTGCAAATATAGGAACCGATATGCCTATCAAAATTCAAGAAGAGAATCAATATTGGACTATCTTTTTTGAACATGATCTATATCCTGGGAAAACAATGAACTTAGGCATTCAGAAACATTCAGATATCCAATCATCAAAATCATCAACATATCTACCGATCAGAAAAACGTGTCAGACTTTGAGGACTCATAAATGGTTTGAAGAAACACCAGAAAAAGAAAATCAACCTTTTGGATTGTGCATATGGTTTAAAAAAGAAACTACAACAGAAAATCAACCTATTTTGGGCATGGTCTAAAAAAGAAACTACGAAAGAAAATCAACCTTTTGGATTTTGGATATGGGCTAAAAAAGAAACTATAAAAGAAAGTCAACCGTTTGGATTTTGGATATGGTCTAAAAAAGAAACTACAAAAGAAAATCAACCTTTTGCAAGAGATACACAAAAAGAAAATCAACATTCTGTAGCATACACATCTGATGAAAAAGAAGCTCACATTATCGATAACTATTGTAGAACCCCGTCAGCAATAGGGGAAGAAAAACATTGTGCTTTATCACTAGAATCAATGATGGATTTTGCCATTTCAAAGCTTGGAAAGAATATCAAAGTGATGTCAAGTTCCTTAGTTCAAAATCAGGACAAATATGAAGTGGATGAAGTTAATAAAATTGGAGACAAAGTAGTAATGTGCCATAGATTGAATTTTAAAAAAGTTGTATTTTATTGCCATGCAGTAAATGCTTCAACAACTTACATGGTCCCATTGACGGCCTCTGATGGAACTAAATCAAAAGCACTTACTATTTGCCACCATGACACTAGAGGTATGAATCCTAATGTGTTGCATGAAGTTCTCAATGTTAAGCCAGGAACTGTCCCTGTTTGTCATTTCATCGGAAACAAGGCTATTGCTTGGGTACCTGATATGAGTGAGTCTGGTGGGCATCCTTGTGTCGTTTAGTAGATTTGCACTTTGATTAGAATCTTATGTTTGGACTTCTTCTAAAGTGACATCTGAGAATAAATATGATGTGAATATATCATATCTTATGTATCTGCAATATTATTATCTCTAAAGTGATATTTGAGAATAAATATGATGTGAAAATATCATATCATATGTATCTGCAATATTATTATCTATTCTAAATAAAACTTGCTCTAAATTAGTTAGAACTATGGATTTGTGTTTATGCAATGTGTCAACCTATGGTCAGTCTTTGGTGTACTTTACGTAAACTATCATCTTTATATGGATTTCAAATGCCTTGTAGCATCATTATAAAAATCTATCTTAGTAAATAAGGGTAACCATGACTTAATTTTAGATTAATATATCAAAACTAGAGTGTCTTTTTTTTTTGTTAGATCAACACTATTTGTGTTTCAATAATCCATACACACTCCAAAAGTTTTATACTATATCTTCCATTTATTCGACCCATCACTCGCGCCAAAGTGTTTGGGTATTCTAAATAGTTTTCAACACCCAAAAAATTGCTAACCATACTCGGTCCCTCGATTATAATATGTTTGCATGTACTAATCAATTTTTGTCATGTTTCCCTATCTCACCTTCAACTTCAATGCCTTATTAAATCTCCCTTGTCTACAGAAAATATTTATTGTTTTCTTAAACATTACTTGTAATCTTATCTACAATATCATTATATTCTTAAATCTTTTTTATCTTCAACAATATATCAATCAAGATACAATTAGAAAATATCTTAATTTTGAGAGAGAGAGAGAGAGAGAGAGAGAGAGAGAGAGAGAGATAGAGAGAGAGAGAGAGAGAGAGAGAGAGAGAGAGAGAGAGAGAGAGAGAGAGAGAGAGAGAGAGAGAGAGAGAGAGAGAGAGAGAGAGAGAGAGAGAGAGAGAGAGAGAGAGAGAGAGAGAGAGAGATGTGGGAGAGGAAGATGTGTGAGAGAGATGTGGGAGAGGGAGTGGTGGAAGAGAGGGAGGAAGAGTGAGAGAGAGAGAGAGAGTGGGGAATGTAAATTGGCCAAGGGGGTTTAACATCCCTATGAGTTTTTTGCAATGACTTCACCTAGAGTCGGTTGAGTTCCAAGGAATATCCTTTAGAGGGCTAGAATTTATTAGAGGTAGAACTTTGGGACTTGGCCAATGACTCTTTGTATAACCAAAAAAAATCTCATGGTGAGATGTTGAATGACCTAAGAGATGAAAGTCGAGGTCTACAAAGAAGGTCCACCTAAGGGAGACCCTTGTGTTTTTTTCCTTTGGTGTTATCCATAGTACCCTTAAGGAAACCACTCTTTTGAGGAGGGTATAATATTTGTAGGAAGAAACTAGGAACCTACCTACTAAGAATATTTTTCATAATTTCACCATATTGTTACCCTGTGTCATTCGGTGGGAGAACTGACTTTACTGGTTTATTTTACATTTTATCGCAAATGTCGCGGATAGAAAGAGTCTCCACCGACTTTTCTTTTATCTAATAAGAAAAGGGTGAAAAGAACAAGAAATACTTTTGAGAATTTTCTGAATACGGGGTAGGTTATGAAAAGGGAAGGTGTTAACACCATTTTCATTCGTAGTTATCTATGATCTCTTAATTTCTTGGATCGATCCTTGCATTCAAATAGGGGAGCTCTCAAGCTTGATATTTTCTTTCTGATACCAGCAAACAAAGATCTTCCCTATGAACAGGAGGCAAGATTTCTACATCTCCGAACTTTGACCAAGAAACAAAGAACAAGGATGAAAAGAAGCTCGCCCTGCTCAATTACTACTAGGATAACAGGAATAAGACGTCGGGGGGAATTAGTCACTAGTAGGTTGTACGTATTTCACTTAGTTAGATCTTGTTACCATCTTAGACTCCGAGTTCTTCTAACTGATTACAAGTATATGTATGATAACTCTTTTATCAGTCCTCAAGAGTGTTGAGAAATCGTTTTGAAAATATTTTTGAAAGTGCGAGGTTTGAAAGTGATGTTTTGTGTGAGCAAGCGACTAACAATATTCGACCCTTACTCAAAATTATTTCGCGTTATTTTCTTCTTCCTTTAGATAGTGTTGTCCTACCATTAGTTAGTAGGAAGCCCTATCATTAGATGTGTGAGGGACATGCGTAGGGTCGTCGTTATAGTCATTGAAAGCAACATGTAGGGATACCTTTAGCAATTTTGAAGGGACTGTCAGGAAACATCGAGGGACAAGATCTTTGTGATGATTTATGACTAAGGGACTTTGCTAATGGTATCCCTACGTTTGAGGGACATGACCATTGTTTTTTCGAGGCAACAAGAGAGGTCACCCTAGAGTTGCAAGTGTGTGAATAATGTATTGAATTCGAAACCTAAACAATTACAAGGCTTCAGGAAGGGGGATACAAACCATAAAAACTTGGGAAAAGAAAGAAAGCAAAAACCCTAATTTAAACTATTACATTCTGTAACAATTACATAATAGGAAAAACTAATAGAAAATAATAAATGCACGAAAAAGTGAAAAGGAGAAAGTGTTTGATGATTTTTTTTATGGAAAAGGTTTTTTCTAATGATGATTGAAATAAATCTAAAAACTAATTAATTTTTAATTAACAAAATTAATTAAATTAATTAAAAAAGGTTGATGATGAAAAACCTAAAAACTAATTAATTTTAATTAACAAAATAATTGATTAATTAAATTAATTAAAAAAGGTTGATGATGAAAAACCTAAAAACTAATTAATTTATAAAAAAAAATATTTTAAGCTTGTAAAAAAGTTTCTGGTTTTATGGTTAGGTGAATTTAGGGTTGGAAAAGACAAATTGGTTAGAAACCAAAAACAAATAATAAAATGTCAGGGGTGGATGTCGAACCAAAAATTAAATTAAAACTTAAAATTAAATTTAAAACCTAAAATTAATTATTTGAGTTTATTATGAAAAATCAAAGACTTGTGAAAAATGTTAGGTTTTATGAAAAAAAAAATTTAAACAAAAAGAAGGAAAATAGGTAAAAGGATAAATAGAATAGAATAAAACCAAAACCAATAGGGCATGGGTTCAACCATGCATTGGTTGGTGTTTTACTTTGGCCTCTGCATGTTTTGTAATAAATCTGCATGTGACCATTACGATGGTCCAAACCTGTAGTGTTGAATCTCATGAACACATTAAACAAATTAGTATACCATGAAATACAAAGAAAATAAATATGTGAAGTTTTGTAACTTTAAAATCGATATGGCATGTATGAATGCTTCTACACCCTTTTGATCATGGAGATAGAATAAACCTTACCCTACTGAGTTCGTGGAAGTGAATGAGATGGCTTGTAGATACAAGGGTTTGTAACAAGGATTTCAAGATTTCTAGGGTTCTTGAAAGAATTTGATATTTTGACAAATTTGTGGCAAGGGTTTTTTTTTCGTGTCTGTTTATATGAAAAGCATGAGGTTATATAGTGGAAATTAGGGCAAAGATATGGCCTTTGGATGTGCAATTGGGCCTCCAATAACCACAAGCAATAGTGCAGATTTTTATTCACTTGAGTTTGACATGTTCCAAGCAAATTCGCAGGGACCTCAGTGTGATTTTTGAAGTTGAAATGTGAAAAACGAAATGTAGCTGACATCGAGAACAAACTCATGTCCGAAAATGGGCTCAATGGGATAAATAGTAAATAATTATGAATTTTTGAAGTTTCGCCTCAAACAACTTAATTTTGGGCTCTAGTGTCAACTTTGACATGTTCTTCATTAGAAAACTGGTATTGATCGGAGAAGATCCTGGTCTTGACTTTGGAAGAAAAGTTATAGATCTCTGAGTCAGTGACCTTGTGTAAAAAGATGGGCCCGATCCGATAAAAATTGACCGAGTTATGAATGTTTGAAGTTTCGACCCAAATGAAATAATATTCAGCATTGAGGATTTTCGGCGCGTCACGCGCACTCAGGGAGAAAACGCAGACCTTTTGGATACCATTCGAACTTGGGACCTCTTGTGAAAATGTATCCAACTTAATTTGTGAAATTTTGACGCTGGAAGCAGCTTGATATGATGAAAATCGACCATGTTATGATTTTCTGAACATGACAGAGATAAACTTCTGTCACAAAATTTATGTACAGAAATACTTGATAAATCCGCATTTTTGAAGACCTTCTGATCAAAATTTACTTCCATCCGTGAGAGATGAAAATGTATATGACGTCAAGACGGGATTTTGTCTACCAGAACAGGTTCAAAACGAGCAACAGGCTTCAAGTTAGGAATTTTTTAGTGCGTAAAAACTGCACTTTCAACACACTTTTTCACCATATTTCTTCGAGAAAAATCACACATTCAGAGACCTTCTTTAAAGAAATTTCTCTCGAGCCGAATCTGAATTTGAGAATACGTTACTAGGGAAATCTTTGCGAAAGAACACCTGAATATGACGCGCCGGGTTGGACTTGTGAATCTTTGAACCCCGAATCATTGCGAAACAGCAAACTGATCGCCAGTATAGAAAATACTCTGAGAATATCCATTAGAGAAATAAATGTCACTTGTAACCTAACGAGGCTTACTAAAGATACATTGACCCCATAACCATAGAACCAATGATATGCATATATGTAATGTTAAAATATAAGCCAAAAAGATTGAAATGAAGAAGGTAAATTTTGGGGTACAACACCCTGAATACATACATCTTACATTTCAAATAATCATTATTTTTGCATTTTTTTGTCTTATCCACAGGATTCCTAAGAAAAAATAATCAAATATTTTGGTGAGTATCCTAAAGATGAATACCAATAAGAAACAAATCATCCAAATTAGCGTCGTGGTTATCAATATGAAGAAGATCAAACTGATTAGGGGAAAACTAACAGAGAAAGCTATGAAGATGTTTGTTTAACGCTATGGGGATATCCTTGAGTTGACCAAGATAATTGTACAAGTGGAAGCAGTCAGAGCCCTTTCTCAATTATATAACCCTCTGTTGAGATATTT